TTTTTTTTTATAAGAATAACTAATAGATTTAAATAAAATAACATTGTAAAAGAATGTCCATAAAACTTCAGTTATATGAACATTCTTCTGAAAAATTGGAGGTGTAGCATGCAAACGCAGTCAACATAAACAGCAGCTAAAAGTAAACTCAAATAAAGAAACATTAAAGTCGCAGTCCATTGAAACTTCACACACACACCCACTTACAACATACAACAGAACGGCATTTAATAATCCAAAATACTGAACGCTGTTCTGTTGCGTAAATACAAATCAATAATGCCTAGTCAGCAAGACTCCGATCATGGTGAGGCCACTGCCCATGTCGCTAAGTGCACTGCCGCACATACAATGTATTAAACAATATTACCGATCATCGACTCTGCTGACTGAAGCATTGGCCATAGTACTTACAACGTACTAAGCCATAACACTGAACGCTGCCTCAGTTGACTTACCCAAAATATGTTGACCGCTGGTTGTATGCAGCGATTGCTCCATTTAGAACATGGGAATAAGAACGTCAACGTAGGACGCCCATGTATAATTTGTAAGAAAGTACATGGGAATAAGAACGTCAGCTTAAGACGCCCATGTACATAGAAATAAGTATAAATAGAACAAGTAGAGGCATAAGAAGGTCATTGTCAAGCCAACCGCCCTCAGTGGCGAAAGTAAGACCAAAATAAAAATGATTCGCCTTCAGTGGCGTAACAAGAAAACTTAAATCTTTTAATATTACAAGTGTTTTCTTCTTCCTGCCCGAAACAGCCCAGACTTTTTCTCCGGGTAAAAATTGATAAAGTGTCAAAGTGCATATCAGCTGTTTTGTGTTTACATGTTGCCTGCGTTTACTTGGTGCTTTTAAGGAATAGCGAATGGCCTGTTGATTTATTTTGAATCTTTATATACTTAAAATCAAATTTGTGAAACCAAAATTCAATGTCCAAGAGTTTGCATTTAAGTGAAAAAAAAAAAAACAATGTGAATCAGCTGTGTCTCAAATTCTGGGAACGAAATGTGGTTTTTGCGTTCCCCTACTTCTGGATTATGTTCCATTCAAACTTTTTGCTTATTCTCTAATTACCAGCTCCGGTACGGGTTGTTAGGGAAAGAACCTAAAATCACTCGTGTTAAAATAATTTCCACAGAACCGCAGCTGTTCTTCCAACGAAGTCTCCTAACTTCGCAACTAGGCGCCTTAAAGTATAGCACCACTTTCACGTATTGGCTATTGCCACACATAATGCAACGCTCGTAGCGCCTGCTCCTTTTCATTTTTGTATATGTATGAATCTACAATTCAAAACTATATCAAAGCACGCAATTAAATTTTTAATGAAAATTAAAAAATGCCAACTTCAAAAGGGTTAAAAGTTATTTATCATTTGACATTATAGCCGGTGTTCAAAAGAGAGAAATGTCAAAATCACTTCTACCTTGGTTTTAAAATGCTGGCAAACTTCAAAAAAAATTATGGCCGACGAAATGAGGGAATGGTTGTCCTTACTATGTTTTTATCATGTTTACAACAGTGAAAATAAAGCTAAATAACGCAAAGTTAGATATGACCATATACGTTTGCTAAAAAGGGTACTTGCTTGAATAAATGTATAAAAGGTGCTTGAAAAAACTTGCGAAAAGGGCAATTATACCTGAAAAATAAATTAAAAAAGCTATTTACATACATACGTTTGCAAAAAACGGGTACTTACCTGAATAAAAGGTGCTGGAAAAAATTTGCGGAAAGAGCAATTATACCTGACAAATGATTGAAAAATTATTTATATATATACGTTTGCAAAAAACGGCTGGACAAAAATTCGCGAGAAGAGCAATTATACCTCAAAAAGAAAAAAAGGAGCTTACTTATACACGTTGGCGAACAAGGGGTACTTACCTGAATATAAATATAAAAAATTTCTTAAAAAATACAACATTTTGAGAAAAGTGCGTACATATACTCACTTGAATAAAGATTTACGAAAGTACATGTACAAAAACTAATTTATATGAAAAGCTTAGTGACTTCTCCGTTACATATGTATATGTACTAGAGGTATACGCCGCCACCGCCACTGTTTTTTTGTCATTCATCACGCGCCGCGGCCGAGTTACGAAAATATACTCGCGGCGGCGGCGGCTCCAATCATTGAAATACATCGTTTGAAGGCACTAAATACTATTCGTATAAAAACACAATTTTACGAATTGTAAATTATATTTTTAAAGGAGTTTATTTCATAATTTGGGCCACTGGACAAGAATATGATCTCCTTTATTTTTCCAAAAAGAGCGTAACTCAGAAAAAACATAGGTAACATATTTTTCTACCGAAAGCGTTTATTACAGTTAACTTAGGGTCGAATACTGGTAATCTAACTCCTCAATTATTAGAGATAAAACAAAGACAAGTTGATTCCCTTGTGTATTTTTTTTAAATATTTTAAACAGACTTTAAATAAAAAGCAAACACTTTTTTTGCTAATTTTTATATTCGTAAGTTATTTTAGCCTGGGGTCCCACATACATATACAAGTACTAGGTGGCTGTGTGAAAATTGCGTCAGCATTTCTTAGTAGTGGTCAAACCCCATGAAGGTTTTGCTCCCTCGCATCGCACTGTTTTCTACACAGGGTTAAAGTTCCCCCTTTTTGGTAAAAATTAGTATTATTTTTCATTCCATTCGGTTCTTTTTAGAAAATTTGGCGCTTAATGTTTCAGTGGAAATTTTAACCATCTATAAGCCATTTTTTTAAACAGTCAGTCAAAAAGGCTCGTTCTGGTTCTAGTTGATTGGCTAAACTTTTAGAAAAAAGTAGACCAACCTTGTTTTCAATAAGTAATCCGCAAAAAATCGTAAGAACTCCGTAATTTAACATAACGGTTGATAAGATTATTGCAAAAATATATTAATAGCGACATAAATTACCCTAATAACTTCACTTTTTAATTTTTTTATTTCTTTAAATTTAAATATTACATACGGATCTGTAGAGAAGATAGAGAGCCACGTTTGTATGTATGGATATTAGACTGCATCAGCAAAAAAAATTGAGGGTTTTCCGCCGGGATTTCAAAACTCATTATATTCTATGACGTCCACCAAAATATATCGTGAAAATATTAAGATCGAAGTGAGCTGGACCGATTTGAAAATACCTCCAAAAATGTAATTTTTTTGTGAATAAAAATAGTTTCTTAAAGAACTTTGTGAAAAAGGTCCCCTCAGATGACAAAACAAATCAAACTTAAAAAATCTGCATAAAAATCTTTTCAACGGAATCGTAATAATGAGATTTTTGATCCTGTCTTTTTTTTACTTTTGTCAAACATTGATTTACGAAAATCTTGAATAACTGGGCCAAAACTATTCTGAGTTAGACTTATGGGATCTCAGTAGAGTTATTTCTGTTCAAACAGTCTATCCTGTCCTAATTTTTATTAATTTTTTTTCAAATACCAACACACCTTAATTCAACTTTGAATGACGTTCGTTTATCCTACCCCTCTTTTTCATCGTTTTAATGAGTTTATTAACAAAGAAATAAAAAGGATGAGACAATGCCTTTCCAATGACACCGCCTGAACATTAAAACATTGATATTGAACGTTTTAAATGTAATGTGGAACGATTTTCCGTCATCCCTTGTCAAATTTTATTTTTTGCATTTTTGACAGCTACTATTACTTTTTATATACTCGTTTGATAGAAAAGTTGCAGTGCTCGTGCGCGAATAAATTAAATCTTTAATCTTGTATTGAATTATCAAATTTTATATGCGAAAGTCGCGGAAATAAAACTTTATACACAAAATAAAACGTTCACGAGTTTTATACGTTTTTGGACGCGATTCAGATCATTTTTTCGTGTAGTTTCGCATTTCTATCGCTGCATGTGATTTGCATACAGCTTTGCTGCATCCATCGCTGGAAATTTGTCGTAGCTCCGCCGTGGGAAGAGACGTTGACCCTCAGCCATCGGTCGCCCAATCAACGCCGCAACGTCTGCATCGCCAATCACCACACCGCCGCCACCTTTGGGTCGCCAGTACACCGACCAGCCTCCGCCGCCGCAAAATTTGCCCCGCCGCCTTCGCCGATCATCTCAGTTGATCGCTTGGAGCAACCCTATTTGCCTAAGGAAAGCTTGTGCCCCGCCATTTGGTCTATCTGCGCCAGCAGACCCCGAACCAGCTGGAAGTAAAATAAAAAATCCCTTTGTAAACCGTAAGTAAGCCTATTATTTCTTAGTGCTACATACTCATTCCCACGGTAACTACAATATACATACATACACATATCGCAGTAAAATATTAGGTAAAAATATATTAATCTAAAGCTCGGGCCAAACTTTTGCGCCTTTTCCAATATTTAAAAAAATAAAATAAACGGGATCCTCATTCCGTTAAAGAGATCTCCAGAAAATTCGTACATATACATATATATTTCAATTTTCATGTAAATAAGTCCCGCAAGTTAAGATACAGAAAATACGTAAATATATGCATACATATAAAAATCTCCTCAACTTTGTACATACAGTCCACATACTTATGCATATACATAAACATGCAAGTGCATAGGTAATCGTTCATTACCTCATCTCCCGCTTTCGCATTTCTCGCTTGGTAGCTACCAATATACGTATACAGAACTAAAATTTATCCTAACAATTGCACGAAACGATAGGTAAACGTAAAGATTTTCTCAAGGAGTGTTTCCCTAATTAAAAATAAAAGGCGCGATTTCCCGACAAAAGGCGCAACAGTGGCACAACAACACAAAGGAATACACATTCAAAAATATAACATCTCATACATATATACATATATAAAGTGCGATACAGTGGTCGGTTTGCAGTGCGATAAAGTTAATAAATAAAAGCTGACGGCGCTTATATACAAATACGATTGTTACAGTCCCGTGAATTAAATTTGCATTTCACCAAAAGTAATTAAAGCGCCTTCTCGTTCTTCTACTGTGTGGTCCTCTTATACAAACATAAAATGGCGGTTACAGTCGCGTGAAAAAAAACTTGCATTTACATAAACTAAATTTTTCTCGAATGAAAGAGTCATTCGTTGAGCAAGTTTCTCGAAATAACTATATTCTCAAAAACCGTTAAATAAATAAATTAGTAAATAAATTGAATCTCTATTTTTATTTAATTCGCAATCGAGCACTGGCATAATCGCAAAACTCACACATTTAATTATTTATTTACTCATATTATATCACTGTATATTTACTCTCTGGCATGCCTTTAAAAAGGTATTGCATTAAATTCTCTGGCATTCCTTTAAGAGGAATTGCATTTACTTCTCTGGCATTCCTTTAAGAGGAATTGCATTTAGGTAAGAGAAAAAAAAAGAAAAATTTTAATTATATTCTTGTAGTATTCTCGGGTTCTTTAAACCTCCCTCAGGCATCTCTCTCTCTCAGTCTCTTGACCCCAGCCCTCTCAGACTAAATTTTCTCGGAGCGTAACGAAGAATCCCTACTTCCCACAATGAGTGACGATGAGAAAACCGTCTCAACAGAGACTCAACGCTCGACCCGAAAAAATGCTAAAACAGCAGAAGCAAGTAGCCTCCGTTAAGTTTATTGCAAAGACTGATAATTTAGTCGATTATTGTTCAAGATTCAAATCTCTACCTCTCGAAAATAACTCAGAATCAGGCCTGAAAATAAAAGATACGAGTTTAGACAATTTTTGGAATCGAGTTCAAAGCGCTTACGATGTAGATGTAGAGGCAGACGAGCAAGACCTTCCCGAAGATTTCAAAGCTAGTGGACCAGTTCCTCACTACTCGTTATGAAGTGGCCGAAAGAGTTGATCAATGGCGCCTGCCGAAGGCGAGACCTCCTGTTCAGCCCAATAGCTCCTCAAAGCCGCCTTTCTCTCATAACAAACTACCTTTTAAACCCCCACACTCTCAAAACTTTCAAAAACAGATCGATGTCACAAATACAATCTCACGTGACAGAGCAGCGAATAATGTACAAATGTTCGATGTGTAAGAACTCATCTCATTCGCTGTGGAACTGCCTCAAATTCAGAAAGTTGTCAATCCCTGATCGCAAGAAGTTTGTAAGAGAAAATAATATGTGCTTCAATTGTCAATCCCAGTCACAACTCAGTGCTCCATGAAGCCGCAAACTCCATGCCAAAAAGGCACCCCCCAAGAGTGCAAAAAACCAACTCACAAGAGGCAACCACAACCTCCACAAACTTGAGTGCCCAAATTTCAACTCAAACAGACACTGACGAACAAGAAGCCTCAGGGACGCAGGTGCAATCATTCTACTCAGCGAATGAGAATACTCCTCCCTAAAGCTATGGTACCGGTATCACACCGAGGAGAAATATTTAAACTCAGAGCTCTCATAGATCAGGGGCCAGAACGAAGCTTTATCTCTACCAAAGCTCAAAATAAATTAGGGCTGCCCTGCAAATCCTCAAAATTTGAAATCTCAGGCATGGGTGGAAGAGTTGTTCGAACTTTGAACAAATTATGCTGTTTAGTCTTGGTCTCTGCCGATCTCCAAACTAAAATAAATGCTCAAGCTATCGTGTTACCACAGCTGACAAAAATGCTCCCCAAGTTCCCACTTAATCATGACCACAAAGAAAAATGGTCTCATCTCGAACTGGCAGATCCAAACTGCCGCTCCCCATCCCAGATTGACCTTGTGTTAGGCACTGATATCATCCCTCAAATAATCGAGGAGGATATTGAAAAAATCTCATCAACTCTGCTAGCTAAAAAGACAATATTTGGTTGGATACTTAGTGGTCAGATTTATGAAAACATAGCTTCATACTCTACACAAATAGGTGACATTTCTAATGAGCATCTCAACTCACAATTGCGTCGGTTTTGGGAACTAGAAGAAGTTCCAAATCTCAAACATACCACCCCTGAAGACGACTTTTGCGAAGTTTTCTATAAATCCACCACTTCTCGCAACTCTGATGGTCGTTATGTGGTCAGGCTTCCGTTCAAGCCAAGTTTCCCCAACGAAATCTCTTTAGGTTACTCTCGCTCCTCAGCGCTTCAGCAATTTCTCGGAATGGAGAGAACCTCCTCAAAAAGGGCGATTTAAAGACCTCATATGATAATGTCCTGGAAGAATATCTCACCCTAAACCACATGGAAAAAACTATGTCCCAAGAAAAATTCCTCTCAGGCAAGTACATGTCATTGTACCTCCCTCACCATGCGGTCATAAAGCCCGAAAAACGAACGACAAAAGTACGAGTTGTCTTTAATGTATCAAAGATTTCGGGATCCGGATACTCTCTTAACGATGTATTATATACCGGACCAACTCTCCAGCCTGATTTGATGCTTCTCATCCTCAAGTGGCGAATGTATAAATTTGTATTTAATGGTTATGTCGAAAAGATGTACCGACAAATACTGCTACATCCCGAAGACCAGGACTTTCAAAGAATAATCTTTCGTTCACCCACAACCAGCCCCATTCAAGATTATAAATTAAAAACGGTCACATTCCGTGTAAACTGTGCGCCCTAACTCGCCATTCGCACACTTCACCAAGTAGCACAAGATGAAAAAACCAACTACCCAATGGCCTCCCCCATTCTGAAGAAAGAAACGTATGTGGATGACATACTCTTTGGCAGCCACGATCTGACAATCGCCACTGAATCTCTCACCCAAGTCATCCAGGCTCTAAACTCGGCAGGCTTTCCCTTGAAGAAAATAACAGCGAACCACCCAGAAATTTTAAAAAATATAAGGAAAGGAAGAGGACTTGCTCGATACTAATTTTCTCGAGTTCGAAAAAGCAAGTACCACAAGGACTCTAGGGATCCATTGGAATGCGCTCACAGACACGTTTTCCTATACGATCGACACCATCCCAGCCTCATCTGCTAGTACGAAACGACAGATTCTCTCCTCTGTCGCGAAAATTTTTGACCCCGCAGGGTGGCTTACGCCGATAATGATCCAGGGAAAGATTCTCTTACAAGAGTTCTGGATCGACGGAACTCACTGGGACGAGAAATTCAAACCCCTCCGTCTTGTTAAATGGTCTCAGTTCGCAACCAATCTTCACACAATCTCGACCATTCAAATTCCTCGTTGGGTAAATTTTATTCCTGACCAGCATGTTGAACTCCATGGATTCTGTGACGCCTCAGAAAAGGCATATTGTGCCAACGTATATGTTCGAATTACTAATAGTTCCAGTACCTCTTTCCATGTCCTGGTTTCCAAAGGCAAGGTAGCACCCCTTCGAATAACTAGTTTACCCCGGCTTGAGCTCTGCGGAGCTCTTCTCTTACCCAAACTTGTCGCAGCTGTCCAGTCCCATCTCGACCTATCTCAAAGAAAACTGGTACTATGGTCTGACTCTGAAATTGTATTGGCATGGCTGGAAAAACCACCCCACTCTTGGAAAACGTTTGTCTCGAATCGCACCGCGGAGATCTTGGAACACGTCGGAAACGCCACCTGGCGACATGTACGCAGCAGCGACAACCCCGCAGATATGGGCACAAGGGGTTGCAAGCCACTAGATTTAGCAGCGTCTTCGTTATGGTGGAACGGTCCTGATTGGCTACCTAAGCCCCCCGAAGAATGGCCAAAACCCCCAGCTCGAAATGTCAACCCGCCGGAAGTGCGAAGAGTGGAGGCACTACTCAACACCGAAGAAGATTCCGACGTTCTGAACAGGTTCTCCTCTTTCTCTCGAGCTTTGAACGTGATGGCACCGTCTTGAAGTTCATCAGACGACTGAAGGATAAAGCGCCAGGAGCTCATGACCGCGCATCATCCTCGTTATCATATGATGATCTCCGCTACGCGAAAATTCGTCTTATCATAATCACGCAAACCCGTCACTTCTCCCATGAAAAGACCCGCTTAGAAAGCTCAAAGCCCATTGACAAAAAGAGTTCACTATTAGTTCTTAACCCCTTCTTGGATAAAAATGGAGTTCTCCGCGTCAATGGATGCCTTGCTCATGCTACCCTGAGCTATAACGAACGTCACCCCATTATAATTCCGGAAAAGTCCCGAATCGCATTCCTCTATCTAAAGTTTCTCCATGATCTACTCCTCCATGCAGAAGTACGACTTATGCAGCAGATGGCCAGGCAAGAATTTTACGTTCCTCGGCTCAAACCCCTCATCAAAAAATGCATTTATCAATGTAAATACTGCACCATTCACAAACAGCAAATGCGCTCGCAGATTATGGCGGCCCTGCCGCCCGAACGATTCACCTTCGCTCCGCCCTTCACCACCACCGGTGTCGATTTTGCTGGTCCATTTCAAATAAAAGCCTCCATGCTAAGATCACCCGTTTTAGTGAAAGGCTATGTGGCCGTCTTTGTGTGCTTCAGAACAAAGGCGGTACACCTCGAGCTGTGCTCAGACCTGACCAAAGAGGCATTTCTTGCCGCCTTTGCTCGTTTTGTTGGCCGCCGTGGTTACCCCGCTAAAATGATGAGTGACAATGGCAAAGTCTTTATAGGAGCCAAACGAGCCACTGAAAAGGAGTTCTCGGTCTTTCTCCAAACTGTATCCCGTAATGTTGTACAAAAATACGCACCCCAGGGAATTAATTGGCAATTTGTCCCTCCCAGCGCCCCGCACATGGGTGGTTTATGTCGGCAGTTAAAAGTTTAAAATTCACTTCAAAAGGACTGCTGGGGCCCACAAATTTACGTTTGGGGAGTTTACTACGCTTTTAATAAGAGTAGAAGCTCTGTTAAATTCTCGTCCGATATCTCCACTCACCCAAGATCCGACGGACTTTACAGCGCTCTCACCTGGCCACTTCCTCCGGGGTGCTCCCCTCCTATCTTTCCCCGAATGTAACCACGAAAAACTCTCGCTCATTAATAGATGGGAAAAACTCAAGCTCTTACACCACCAATTCGCCAAACGATGGAAGGAAGACTACCGTAAAGACCTTCATAAGCGACACAGGTGGAAGAATGCTCAAGTAGAACCCAGAATCGGAGAATGCGTAGTCATTAATGATGACACACTCCCGCCCACGGAATGGCGCCTGGGCCGCATCGAAAGGTTGCACCCTGGCAAGGATGGGCACATTCGTGTGGTCGACGTCCGCACCCAAACCGGCCTTCTCACTCGGCCATTAGTAAAATTAGTATTTTTGCCTTCGAGCGAAGATACCCCCTATCGCATTGAAACCGATTAGCACTCTATAAATTCCTCACTTGAATAAGCAGCCAAATGGCTGCGCATCGTTTTTTCACACACCACACATACATACACACTTTCGTATCTCTCTCCTATGCCTCCCATATTGTAATATACGAAACACTAAAAATTTCCGTATATAAACTCTTTCCAGATGGATCACGATGAGGCACCTCAGCCAGCACCGCGAATGTTCCTAAAGTCGCAGATTGGAACCACCCACAACATACGTTCAGCGAATCATCCCACGGAGGATTATAAGCGGTGCCGATTGTGCGCCGGTCATCATGCGCTCCGAGTATGTCCAGCGTTCTTAGGCGTACAGCCACAGCAGCGCTTCTTACTGGCAAGGGCGCACAAGTACTGCACTAACTGCCTGGCGCTTTCGCATCCGACCGCCCAGTTCACGTCCACTACCACTTGCCGCATTTGCTCCCTACAGCATCATACACTACTGCACCGGAATGGTGCACCGGCAGCCCGCCGCACGAGGGCGAACTCCGCAGTGCAGCACTCCAAACGCCTCGACCAGACAAACAAAAACGCTCCCCAACGTGGGGATCAGGGCGTACATCACCGCGATACAACCACATCAGACACCATCCCACCAGCGGGAACCGTAAAGTCCGCAGCAAGGCTACCAAAATTTTGGTTCACGAGGCAATGAGGGCTCTACGGGAGCTGAAGGATGCACTACCCGCTTAACGCGGCCAGGGCCGGGAGGATGGCTACGCGAGAACTGCAACACTTATATTTAATTAACTCAATTTGTAGCTAGCTTACTAGTGTGCATTTCACTTTGAATTTTGTATCTCTTGAATTTTGTATCTTTTGAATTTGTATTTTGAACTACCTCTGGTGTGCACCCTTTGTAAGCTTATCTTAGGAGTGGTTGGCAACGCATGTATGTATATATATGTTTTGCATTTTTGAGAGCTACTATTCCTTTTTATATACTCGTTTGATAGAAAAGTTGCAGTGCTCGTGCGCGAATAAATTAAATCTTTAATCTTGTATTGAATTATCAAATTTTATATTCGAAAGTCGCGGAAATAAAACTTTATACACAAAATAAAACGATCACGAGTTTTATACGTTCTTGGACGCGATTCAGATCATTTTGTTCGTGTAGTTTCGCGTTTCTATCGCTGCATGCGATTTCCATACAGTTTTGCTGCATCCATCGTTGGAAATTTGCCGTAGTTCCGCCGTGGGAAGAGAGCTACGCCCACGTTGACCCTCAGCCATCAGTCGCCCAGTCGCCAGTACACCGACCAGCATCCGCCGCCGCAAAATTTGCCCCGCCGCCTTCGCCGATCATCTCAGTTGATCGCTTGGAGCAACCCTATTTGCCTAAGGAAAGCTTGTGCCCCGCTACGCGTAAGTCGTTCAGTATTATCGTTTAAATTTTACTAGTCTCGTTTCGAGAGCATATTTTCGGGCACTAGGCCCATTCTAACTGTCCCAGACAGGTGTGTAATTAAGAATATGCTCCAGGTAGTAACAAATCGAGCTATTGGTTACATATTGCACTTTCTAAAGGTTATTAGCCGTTTTAATATAATTTATTACATAAAGGAATTTGATATGTATCATTTAAATACAAATAATAAATTTTGAATACTTACTTGAATACATATCGTCGTTTAAAGTGCAAAACCGCGTATCAACAAAATGCAAAACCGCGTATGTGAAGTTCCAGAAATTATTTTCTAGTTTGTAAAAACACTCATATTTCAAAATGGTTCTCTTTTTTATAGAGCAATCGCATATCTGCCTAGTATATTTCAGAACGCATGGATAAGGATTGAGCCAAGACCTTGTGTGAGCAAATCCAATTTTTGGCAGCCAATGTCAGTTACGCGGTTTTGCAGAATCACGATACGCGGTTTTGTACTTTAAACGACGATATGTAGATACCCCTTTTTACATAACTACTATTTTTAAATTATTTTGGTTTCTTTTCAAATATGTTTATATAAATGGGGCAATTCACGTCAAATGTCCCAGCGCTCTGAGCGATGCAAAGCAAGCTGCTTTTCCACTAGCTGCGAAGCAGACAGAAAATAGAAAAAATAATTCGAAAACTATGCTTTCTATAGATTTTTGTACTTGCTATGCGATAACACCATTTAACACCATTTTCATGGTGAAAATTCTGAACGCAAATTTATTTGAAATTTTTCTGAATTATGGTCATTTTTAATATTGTTTTTAGTTATCTCAATCGAAAGATCAAGTCTTTTTACATATAAATCACTAATAAAAAAGGACTTTGTTCACTTTTCCGAGTTATTAAGCCTTTTAGAGCGCAACGCGCTAACCTGCTAACCGTGCGAGTTATAATAACTAGTATCGGCAGTTGTCGAAATTCTACATCTTTTTTATACACTTTTGAATTTTGCGTGTCACCAATACAAGCTTCTTTATGCGAACTACAATTTTGAAGTCCACCAGCATAATTTATAGCGAATTTACAGGAAAACTTAAAATCGAATTACGAACGTTAATACCGGATTGATTAATGCGAATTCTACCAAGTCTGCTTTCTTCAGTATCTGCTGCATATGTATATGTAATATGTCAAACATATACCAATTCGGACTGTAAATAAGCTTTTCCATTATATTTGTCTGAGAGCTTCTTGGAGGTTAAAAACTAAATTGCCCACATCTACAAAAACTCTTTCTTTTTTCATCAGAATCGTTAACGGTTGAGAAAGTATCTTGAAGGTTTACAACAAAAGATAATATTTCCGTCTCTAATGGCGGTTTCATACGGGTTTTTATCAAGACTGGGCCAGAGCCCAATATTTTTTCATCACACGATTGGGCTACCAAGTTATGCTAAATATTATGTTACTAATATGTGTTCTAAAAGTGAAACAAATCTGATCATAGATATCCTTTTTTAGGATAGCTCTCAATCCCTGCGCCACCTATCGCGAGACAAACACACTGATCCTTCTAAAAACTTTTGCACAAAACAACAATCATTCAATGCAATTTTAAAATCTTAATTCTTGCGATTTTATATGTGTAGGTGTATAAAATTACATTACCTTATCATAAGTGCTTCCAGAGAAAGGCGATTTGAGAATTTCAGTTTGTATGGGCGGTGCCACGCCCCCCTTTCCAAAATATACCACTCTTCGCCATAAGTACGGTATTGACCACATATGTTGCTGTGTCCAATTTCAGGACGTCAGCATAGGCGGTTCCAGAGATAAGCGATATGAGAATTTCAGTTTGTATGGGCGTTGCAACACCCCCTTTCCCATTATCTACCACTTTTCGCCGTAAGTACGGTATTGACAATATATGTTGCTGTGTAAAATTTCAGGACGTTAGTATAAGCGGTTCCAGAGATAACCGTTATGAGAATTTCAGTGTGTATGGGCGGTGCCACGCCCTCTTTCCTAAAATCTACAATTTTTCGCCATAGTACGGTATTGATATCATAAATAGCTGTGTCAAACTACAGGACGTCAGCATAGGCGGTTCCAGAGATAAGCGATATGAGAATTTCAGTTTGTATGGGCGTTCCCACATCCCCTTTCCCATTATCTACCCCTTTTCGCCATAAGTAGGTTATTGATATCATAAATAGCTGTGTAAACTTTCAGGACGTTAGCATAAGCGGTTCCAGAGAAAAGCGATATGAGAGTTTCAGTTTGTATGGGCGGTGCAACGCCCCCTTTTCCAAAATCGACCATTCTTCGCCGTAAGTACGGTATTCATAACATATGTTGCTGTGTCAAATTTCAGGACGTTATCATAAGCGGTTCCAGAGTTGAGCGATATGAGAATTTCAGTTTGTATGGGCGGTGCCACGCCCCCCTTTCCAAAATAATAATAATATCCCAACGGTTGTTACCCTCCATTCCCGCCCATCCGCACGAGGGGCGCAGTCCGCATGACGTATGGAACCAGTATTTTCAATTTTTGCGCCGAGTCACGATAGGTAGGAGTTTGTTAAGTGTCGAGATCTAAAACTGTTCAGCTGCAGAACTAAATTCATTAGCCGATTTTATGTCTACATTTTAATGATTCATAAGCAACGGAGTGTGTCGTGCAATTCGAAATTAGTTTACAGCTTTCAGAAATAGGGGGCAAAAGTGTCTTGATACCCGGGAGGGAACATTAAGGCTAACTTCGCCAAGAAGAAGCGGACTTGAAATTGAGCCTGTTAGTAATTTAACTATAAAAATTGTACCAAGCATTTGCCTGCGGCTGGAAAGTGTAGGAAGATTAATAAGTTTTAATCGGCTCGTATAAGGTGGAAGGTTATGTTGAGAATCCCAACGGAAATTCCTTAAAGCAAAAAGTAGGAATTGTTTTTGAATTGATTCTATCTTGTCTGAGTAAATTTGATACCTTGGATACCAAACCACCGAACCGTATTCCAGAATTGGCCTAACTAATGTTGTAAACAGGATTTTAGTGATATAAGGGTCACAAAATTCTTTTGACCATCGTTTCACAAATGCAAGTACACCTTAGCCTTGTTGACTGTCACATTAATATGAAGATTAAAATTAAGCTTAGGATCCGTTGTGATACCAAGGTCCACAAAATCGTATACCTGTTCCAGGTTACGGGTACCTATTGTATAAGAAGTGGGATGAACAGCTCTTCGCGAGAAGCTCATTACTTTACATTTCTTAAGATTTAGAGGCATAAGATTTACTTGACACCAGTAAGCCATGCTGTCTAAGTCTGATTGTAGCAAAGACCTTTCTTTAATTGAAACGTACGATTTATAAAGCTTTACATCATCTGCATACATTAAAAAATGGAAAATTGTATATCTGTAGAAATATCGTTTATAAAAAGCAAGAACAGAACCGGGCCTAGGTGGCTACCTTGAGGGACTCCTGAAGTAACATCAATGACGTCAGAGAAAGTATTTTTAAACATAACACTTTGTGATCTATCATAGAGGTATGAAGAGATCCAACGTAGAAAATTAGGTGGAAGACCAAGAAGATCAAGTTTGTAGATGAGCAACGAGTGGCACACTTTGTCAAATGCTTTACTGAAGTCAGTATATATAACATCAACAGTTTTGCTTTCACTAAATGCTTTTGAGATATAGGATGTTAATTTGAGTAAATTTGTAGAAGTTGATTTGCCCTTGCAAACTCCATGTTGACTATATGAAATGCTAGAAGAGATAGAATGCGGCAACTGATTTGTTATAATTGCTTCAAATAATTTAGGAATTGCAGAAAGCTTAGCTATTCCCCGGTAGTTCTCCACTGAAGATCTGCTACCGCTTTTATGTACGGGGGTTATGAACGATTCCTTCCATATAGTTGGAAAAACGCCCTCTTTAAGAGATAAATTAAATAACGCTGTTAACTGCTCATAGAGATAATCAGAACAATTTATAAGAATACAAGTAGGAATCTTCACAGGACCATAACTGAAGGACCGCTTTAAGGATTTCAGATAAACTACTACATCATCGGGAGATATTACTGGCATATTTATTGAGTTCATTGGACATAGTTTAAAAGGATAGTCAATGTTAGCATGTGAGTTAATGGAATAATTGGAATTAAAAAACTGAGCGAACATGTTAGAAATTGTTTGATTATCACTAAAGACGGTATTTTGATACTTCATGGCGGAAGGAAACCCACGTACATTTCGCTTGGAGTTTACAAAGTAATAAAATGATTTGGGGTTATATATTATACGCCGTTTGATTTTACACAAGTAAGCTTTATAACACTTTTTGTTTAATTCAAAAAACTTATGACGCAAAAGTGAGTATTTTACATAGTGTGAGTGTAAACCGGTTTTTTGTGTAATCTAAAATAACGCGACTTTCTGTTTTTCAAATTTCTAAGTTCTTTAGTGAACCATAACTGTGTTTGCTCTTCAGGAACATACATACGTTTAGGCTCATGCTTTTCAAATAACTTATGTAAAGTAGTATTAAAAAGTGCAACGCTTTGTTCAATGTTTTCTTTAAATGCAGGCCACGACAATTTAGACAGTTCTTTCTTAAGCATTTTAAAGTTGGCTTTCGAAAAATCAAAGCGA